CACTTTAAAGAGCTCCGTGAAAGGAACCACCTTCGCATTGTCTGGTTGTTAAAATATCCTCGCTGCTAAAGCAAATGGGAATCACTGCAGCTCAGAGATCAAGTACTCAGCTACATAAACCACAAAGCAGACCTTGTTTAGCTTTCAGATCAGGTTCAGAGCGGACCTTAAAGGACAGCTCACCCCAAAATCGCTAATGCTAATATGCTTAAAACATGGAAGTCTACATTTCCCAGGTATTATATTTATTAGAGATTTGTTGCAACCCTATTTTAATGACTAAAAACATCTGTTTAGCGCCCTCCTTGGGTTTAACAAGTGTACTGCAGTTGATTTTTAAACAATAATTGGCTGACAATAGTAACTCTGCTGATGTGGGCTATAAAAGCAGCTCTACTAGAGGTTTTTTCATTATGCCCAGTGGGCCCAGTTCAGGGCCCAACTGACCCAGGCGGATGTTCATCTAATAATAGAAACGGCCAAAACAAAGTCACATGGTGTTTCATCCACACGCCTTTTAAATGGGGCATTAAAATTTCTAAAACATGTTTCAAAATTATTTTTTTCCAAATACTTTTTGTTTTATAGCTGTGTAAACAAATAAAATGAGATTTAAAATTCCACCTGACATGTGTGAGTCTGCGGGAGTAATGCAACAGCTGGTATAAATTTTTAGCCCCGCCCCCTAATGGCCACCATCATTGGAAATTAGAGGCTCAGACCTTTCCAAGGAGGGGTTGGAGGTCACTGTGCGACCATTTCAGGTGATGTAACCGGCATGCGTTACATAAGCTTGCTGTGTTGTTCTTATTTTCTATCCACATTTTGTGATATTATTATTAGTACATTTGAATGAAAAAGCGGCTAAATCTCAGGAGCAAAGGCTTAGTCTTATGCAGAAGGTCTCCAATAATGTAAATCAGCATATTTTTCTGACTAGATTTCCTTTTATGAGTAAAAAAAAAAAAAAAGCTTTTTTGCACTTTTGGCTTTGTGCCAAAATCCCATTTCCTCCTTGCCCACTGCCCACTAAAACCTTTGTGGAACAAACATGCTTCAACTTATTCAGTCCAAATTAGCTTCAGTTATACTCAAGATGTGGATCTATAAAGTCTGAGGGTTCATCCAGGGTTTCAAATGAGCTTTCATGATGTTTGCAGTGTTTATTTTGGAAAAAACATTAGGCAAGGCTAAATATTGTTCATTTTTTTCTTTGTTTAATTACCTATAAATCAGATGTGGTAACATTTGAAATACTGGTTCCACCTGAAAAACATTGCTCAAGGCCTTTCTGTCACACAAAGACAAACAATTACATTTCCAATTATTAGATAGGGAGCTGAAATTGCTTTAATTCACATATTTAATTTCAAACGGAATTTGCTCCTCAGACACTCAGTGTTTTAGGGGTTAGGATAAAAAAAATAAAAGTCAGAATCTATTTTTATCAATCACCTCACCCCCCAAACACCAGACATTGTTTTTTAGGCTAAATCTGGTCGTCTGGTCTTGATTTAGTCCAGAAATAGTTGTTGAAAATTCTGCTGTTTTTGGTCGGTCTGATTTAGTCCCACTTTAGTCCAATATAACATGTTAAAAAAAAACAACAACAAAAAAAATATGGCTTTTTATCTTTTTAACCAAATGTAGATGTAGTTTGGATGTAAATCCTGACTTGTCAGTGTTTTTTCAACCAATTTTTGCTTGGAAGGCATTTTATTGATAATTATAAAATACTCTAAAGCATTTATTATTAATTGTTGTAATAAATATCCAGTCTGAAAAAGCCACTCTGGGTCTCTTAGCAAGACCCTTAACCCCCAAATTCTCCAATGTTAATTGAACAAAGTTCAGTTATTATTATTAAAGGCATAGCTTCACAGTTTCTTCCTGCTCTGCATGGACCTCAATGGCGAACCTGCTTCTGTGTAGTTAAATGTCTCGAGATTGATTAATAGTGAGGCTATTGTCACAAAGTTTAAAGAGTTTTTCCTCAGACAGACGTCTTCTTGTTGCTGTTTTCATTTTGTTAGGGAGGATGGATCTGCTGCTACTTTAAAGACTGGGAATAAAAATGCCACTTCAAGCAAAGTTTCAAATATGGAAAAATCCTATAGAAATCTCCTAAATTATGAATGTATATTGACCTAATAAGACATAGAATTTTAAGTAAATCAAATTGAGTACAAGTGTCACTTCATGCAGCTATCTTAATATATTTGAATCCCTCGCTGTTTTTTCTTTTCATGCTTTTCTGTGCCACCATGAAAACTTGCGACCACCCAGCAGAGGCGTAGCCAGAAAACTTTTATAATGGTGCCCAGGTAATAACAAATGTACACTGAGGGGTGGCTGAAAGCTGATAGGTGCTAGAACCTCAGGGTCAATCCAAAAATAAGACAAACTATCCTTTACTACAGCCTTTGCTAACAAATAGATGCATATATTTAAACATCCGTGATTTCTAGATGAAAGGTATAGTGGATAAAATTATTTCAGGTTTGAGTTCTGGGGCGAACATCTCTTCCTTTGTCATTAGTTACATACCTGTATCAAAAATCATTTTGCATAAAATTTACATTTACATGTACAGATATCTACATAAATTGACTATTTAATCCATTTTTATTAAAGTAGTTATTTATCTCTGATTTAACTGAAGACTCCTAGATAACTTGCAGAGACACATCATAATCTTTACCCCAAAACATAAAATCTAGTTCTGAAAAGAGCAAGAATTCTGCACTTATCTTTAATGTTAGTGTATTGATGTGTGTAAATAACCACAGTGCTTTTATTGTCAAGTAATTATGAATGTATGAAAAAAATAGTAAGTAATGATGGGGAGTGTTCTGGTGGCGGTTAGATCCATATTTTGTCCTGGATGCGGCAGACCCAGGTTAGATTGGACCTGTGGTTCTTTCCGCATGTCTCCCGCACTCATAGCCCGTTTCCTGTCTGTGCATGAGAAAACGAGCCACTAGTGCTGTAGAAACTCAAAAAAATATATATATACCGGTATATATATATATAAATATATATGGGTCATTCCATGAAAACTGTTAAGTTTGGGTCCATAACATTCAAAGAGGAATAGGAAGCATAATAAAACTGTCAGCAATACTTTCTAAAGCCCTTGATTCAAGTTTAGTTGGTAGCATGAGGTCAAATAAAATTTAATAATGAATATATATTTTGCACATTTATAACTTTTTATGTTAAACTGCAATCTTTTTCTAATGTCCGCTCTGACCATTTTTCTCATTCGTGTAATGTAAAACTTAAGAAATATGAAATAAATCTAAAAAATGTTTTGTTGTTATGATTAGAAATAATTTCCTCTTAGTAGGAAATGTGTTAATTATATTAAAATGTCATATTTTTTTTATTGAAATAGCATGATTTTTCTATGTCCATCAATTTCATATTCCACCCCGTCACACCAAGGTTATTTTGCACCAAAATGCAATATACTTCCTAGAAGTGACATCACTAACATGAAGTGACATCACTAAAATGAAGTGACATCACTAAAATGAAGTGACATCATTCAAGTGTTTGAAGAAGAGGAGTCCAAACAATAGTGAGTTCTGTTTTTTTCTTTAAGAACATTTTTGGTACATTGTTCCTTCAAAATCCTTTCTGTTAACCATAGCATATCCACCCCGTCACATACAAAAAGTGGGGAAAACAATTTGTTAATAAAATTTTGAAATTATATTTGTATTAATCATTCATTTTTGATTGTACTTCAACGCTAATGGCACCATCAGGTTTTAACATATCCAGAAACTGAGCCGTAATGCTTTAGATTTTCCACCCCGTCACACTAAAGCTTGTGACGGGTTGGAATCAGTGTGATAGGTAGCAACGTTCTTCATATTGAATTAATGCTGTAAATCACATAAAAACATAAAAAAAAAACACTTTGAACACACTATTTTTTTTTTTTTTTTAAAGACACTTTCTGAAGTGAATAACATTTTGTTTGTCTTACTTTTATCCAAAATTACCCTTTAATTTGTTAACCTTTGTCCTGTGAAGGGGTGGGAAAGGAAACTCTGTTCCCTGGATATAATGTGCTAAAATATTCACAGAAAATTGTGTCTGAGCTTGAAAAATATGTTTTATTGCAGGTGTTACAAGTTCTATGATCAAGGTTATGATCAAAAACCTCTAAATTCAGAGGTCCAATCTTTACACTTTCCATGGAATTACCCTTATATATATATATATATATATATATATATATATATATATATATATATATATATATATATATATATATATATATATATATGAAAAATTCAAATGAATATTCCTCTTGAGAGTATTATTGCTGCCACCATCTGTTAGAGGGGGAAACATGTAGGGATGGCCCCATCTAGCTCCGCCCCTGCGGGCCCCCAGGGGCTCCCGACCCCCACTTTGGGAACATCTGGCTTAGACCTCATGATTAAAATCATCTTTTTATGGCGAAACGTTGATGAGTTTCTGTCACTGGAGAAGCTTCTTAAAGCCAGTTAAATGTTTCCGTGGAATGACCCACGGAGAGTCCCAGCTTGAGGAGTGGGCCGTGGGAGGAGCAGGGCCCCCAGTCCCCTCCTCCTCCTCTTCCTCCCTCTCTCCGCTCTCTAACGCTGATCTCCTCCCGATCATCAGACTCTGAGCCGATCACAGCGATCGATGATCCCGCTGCGGACCCGCTGGAGGCGCGCGGCTCCTTCCTGCAGGTAAACTAACCGCTTCTTCCTCCTCTGCTGCTGGCGGACCTGTGGTCCCTTTGGTCCCTAGGACCGACGGCAGCCAGTCCGTCCCAGCAGCTCTATGCTCCTATTCTCTGCTTTAGGCTTTAATGTTTGGGTTTATACCTGAAGGGAAGAGCGGTGGAGGGATGAGAGCGCGAGGGGCCCCAGATCAGGGAGAAGGAGGTGAAAGTTGGAGAAAGTAGGGAGGGACAGCTTCTCTGGAACAGGCAGTTCTGCTGGAGCCGGTCGGTGAGAGGAACCATCCACTGGGTTGGTTTTTAATTATTTTATTATTTCTAAGCAGCTTTAAATGTCCCAGAATCCCAGACTGGGTCAGACAGCAGATCCTGGGGGCCCCCGCTTCCTCCATGGGCCCTAAACTTTAGGGCTTTATTCCACTTTACTGATTTCATTAGTCCCAGAAGCTCAGGAGTTTTACTGCAAATAGAAAGTGATAAATAATAACGATGCTAATGACAGGATTTAGTTTATTTCCCTATATTTAACCCTGCAGAGCAGATTATAGGAAGTTTGTTTTGCTTTCCAGTCACCTTTAGAGAAAAAAATCATTTTGTCAGGGATGATTAACATCTTTCATTAGAGAGAAAAACGCATTAAAATACTAAAGGTATAACCTAATATTATCATGTTATAAATATAAGTTCTATTTTTTTTTTTTGTAAGGTGAGAATACTTTTGATGAGATAGAAATAAATCATCTTCAGCATCTTTGCAAACTCAGATTAGCAAAAGAAGGGAGGAACGATAATGAGCAGGCTATAGAAATATGACAGCTACTCTAAGCAGGGACTGGCTTTGATAGAACATAATATAGAAGCCACAGCAACACTTTATAATAACACAATCTACTAGATAATATCCGGTGCAGTAATGCATTGCTTTCTGGTGATGGGTGTGAGGATGTGTTCACCATTCAGTGCTAAAAAGAACAACAGTCCATCCATCCATTTTCTGACATGATTAATCCCAGCTGGGGTGGCTGAGGGGTGCTGGTGTCTATCTCCAGCTGTCTACGGGTGAGAGGCGGGGTCCACCCTGGACAGGTTTCCAGTCCATCGCAGGGCAACACAGAGACAAACAGGACAAACAAACATCCACACACACTTTAGAGAAGCCAGTTAACCTAACAGTCATGTTTTTGGACTGTGGGAGCCACTCTAATAGAGATAGAATGAAGCAGAAAGAAGGTCCCTGTGTCCTCCAGCAGTCCAAGCCTATAGCAGCATCAGCTAAGGATAACCTGAGCCACTCTTATAATCTTATAATCCAAGTTTTAAGTCTAGCCTCAAAACTAGAGAGGGTGTCTCCCTCCCGGACTAAAACTGGAATACTAAATACTTTTAGAAATTCTAGGAACCAATAGTAAACCTGCAGATTGAGAGCGAAGTGCTCTGTTAGGAACATAAGGAACAATCAGATCTCTGATATAAGACAGAGCTTGGTTATTTAGGGCTTTATATGTGAGAAGGAGGATTTTAGATTCTATTCTGAATCTAACAGGAAGCCTGAGAACGGAAGCTAAGATACGAGAACTATGATCTCTATTCTAGTGACTTCCTGATGGTAACTAATTACAATAGTTCAGCCTTACAGTAAGAAATAAACAGCCTGGTTTCTCTGTATCACTCATCAAACCACAGCTGATGTGCACTCTAGCTTTCTATTCCAGAGAAGTGATGACATTCAGCTTCTAAACTGTGTAAATAAAAGCCAGCGTAAGTCTAATTCTGCAAATAAATCTCAATGGAGAAGATCTTAACAAGCGGAAGCATTTAGCTTGTTGAGAGGGAACATCAATCGGCGGAGCTGTCAGCTAAAACAATGAAGACCATTCTTAAACTTCTGTAAAGTAAATGCTGTTGCCAGTCAGCCGCAGCTAACATTCAAAAGCTAAAGGTTTTTAAAAAGAAACACTAGTGCAGATGTTTACCTGGAAAAAAAAGAGAAAATAAATAAGGGTAAATCCGCTTATTGAAACGGAGGTTTAACAGCATCATTAACAGCTAATCAGTGTCCCAGAATGAGTAGGTGAACATTTAACACCGATGGAAATGGGATTCAGTGATGGTGGAGGTGTAACTGGAATTTCATTGCATGGATTTGCATGTTTACTTCCACACTACCAGTTCAGAGTGAAAACCTGAGGACTGTAGCCTTCGTAGGCATGGGTGAGTCGCTGGTGTCACCGTCTAAAGATGTCAGATTATAAACAGAAATGATGCATCTGCATTGTCTCCAGCTGCATGGAGCGTACTGTGATGCAGTGTTGCTTCACAGTACCAGTTAGACAAATAAAGAAGGTCACTTTCAAACTTTAAAGCTGGAAAATTTACTTTCTGGAAATGATTCTGTCACAAAAAAGACAACCAGGAAGCAAAAGGAGCATTTTCATAAACTCCAAGATTCCACATAATCCGTTGTCGCTCCGCCCTGCTGACGTACGTCAGTATTTGTCTGCCATGTTAATCAATGAGGACTGTTCCACATCCACCGCTGCACCCCCCCCGCTCCGGCCAGGTCAAGATCTGCTTTAACGTAGATTAAAATATAGTTAGGACAGATCGGTAACTACAAATTAGAGACCGTTTAATTAAATGATTGGATAAAAGCTATCGGTACTGCAACATACTGGGAAGCAGATTTCTCATCTCCATCAAAATATTTGTTTTATACTGAGAGGCTTAAAAGTTTAATCTAATCCAGTCAAAACTTCTAAGAGCGCCTCTCACAACTTCAAAACAAACTTCTTATGGCGGGCATGGATGAAGAGATGCTGAGATTGGGAGTAGAGAGCAAACATATTTCATACAAACCGATTTGATATGATGCTAGTTATCCCTTTTACAAAAAATAACAACAAAAAGAAAATATTTTAGCTGAAACCACACATATGCTGGACGCTGATGGAGAATTTTTTAATATGTAATATTAAATTAAGTGTTAATCTCCATGTTTTGCTCCTATGAATTTAATAATAATATAGCGCCTGCTCTCCTTGAGCTCCGAAGAAGTCGGAGCAGAGCAGGTCGGGAGGAACAGCGCAGGCTGTAGGCTTTGTTTTGTGCAGCCGCTGCGGGGCGGAGACGGAAGATGTGGGATTCGGGGTAGAGTCATCAGGGACCTGTATGGTTGCTGTTTAGAAATGTGAAGATATTGCTTTGTTTCTACTAATTTTCTACCTCTCCGAAAAAAGAAACAGCAAAAAAAAAGAAGCAATAGTAGGTAAAGTTGAGAAAAACTGTTTAAATTTTTATAAGAGTCCTCTGAGCCAACTAACATGTCCCCACCTGTCAATCAATCCAGGTGCCCATGTGATGGACCAATCAGCAACAGGGATTTTATCTGGGGAGGGGGATACGCCCCTTTACCTCTAACAACATTTCCTTTAGCATTACGGCAGCATAGCGGACACAACTCAAGGGTTCAGAGTTTAAAACATGGTTTATTCTGATCCCTAAACTAGAAAGGAGTCTTTTAGAAAATGTTTGACCACCAAAGCACAAAATAATGAACAAACACAACAGGGATCAACCCAAGCTGATCGGTCTGTAAAAAAGTAACTAGAATTTTTTTCTTTTTCAGAATTAGGGAAGCTTCTAGATGGGAAAAAGCTAGAAGCAAATATCCATATACAGCCTATTTATACAGTCAAATCATCCAGTAAAATTGATTCAAAGTTTTCTATATAAGGAAAACCCGTTGATCACAATAAGCATGCTTGTAGCGACAGTGGAGAGGAAAAACTCCCTTTTAACAGGAGGAAACCTCCAGCAGAACCAGGCTCAGTGTGAGCGGCCATCTGCTGAGGCCCACTGGGTTCAATAGAAGTTGGTCCTTTTTCAAAATCAAACCAGGCGAAACTAAAACCTTTCCACTTGAGTTCTGGATACAGAATATTGGCAGACAAAAATTTTTTTTTATGTTAAATGCCAAATGCCTTCCTTATTTTTACAATTTTGGTATAATTGGTGCTCAAAGTTGGTCGCTCTGTCAGCTAAAGACACGTTTCAGAGTCTCTATAGTCCAGTTAACGATGAATTGATTACTAAATTAGTTAATGATTATTTCAATAATCACTAAATCACAATTAATCCGATTAATTGTTTCAGCCCTAATTGGAACCAAAATGAAAAGTCTTTCAATAGATGTTTCTCTATTTTTTTGAATGTGCATTTGAACTGCTGCATTAGACAAGCTTGATGGAATCAGTGGAATTACAATCAGCTTTGCTTAAAATGAAAATGGAAACAAAGATTTGAGGTTTGGACTGATCAGATGTCTCAGCGTCCTGAATGCACTTCTCTTCCATGTGGCTGTTCCATTGCTAACACTAGCCGACATGTTCATTAATCCTCACTCCATCACTGATCTCTGGCTTCCTGTTTATTACTGCAGCGTTATAATGTCACTACAGTCAATTCATTATCAACTAGATAAAAAGACAAACCTTTTCTTTTTTTCAACCTTTTCAAAGGTCGCTTAAAATTTGCATAACATTTGGACGGAAACACACTTAGGCCCCGTCCACACGAAACCGCACCCTGGCCTAAACGCACAAATTTTTCACCAAACCAGCCTCTCATCCATACGAAGCCGGCGTTTCGGGGGTCTGTAAACGATCTTTTTTTTATTCAGCCTTCAGAGTGGGAAGATTTTGAAAAGCCGTTTTCGCGTTTCCATCTTTAAGCTCTAACCACATTTTTTTTTTACACGCATGCGTCATAGCGTCGCCTCTAAACACGCATGTGCGACACAGTATCACAACAACAATGGCGCCGTACTGTGTTGAATGGTTGCTGCTAATGCTACTCACCCTGCTGTCGGGCTTACAACAGAATCTTCTTCTTCTGGAATATCTCCAGGAAGAACGGGCAATATCGACGACATACAGGTGCTGGTCATAAAATTAGAATATCATGAAAAAGTAGATTGATTTCAGTAATTCCATTTAAAAAGTGAAACTTGTATATTATATTCATACATTACATACAAACTCATATATTTCAGATGTTTATTTTGTTTAATTTTGATGATTACAAATGACAACAAATGAAAATCTCAAATTCATCATATCAGAAAATTAGAATATTGTGAAAAGGTTCAAAATTGATGGCCCCTGGTGCCACACTCTAATCAGCTAATTAACTCAAACCACCTGCAAAAGCCTTTAAATGGTCTTTCAGTCTAGTTCTATAGGCTACACAATCATGGGGAAGACTGCTGACTTGACAGTTGTCCAAAAGACGACCATCGACACCTTGCACAAGGAGGGCAAGACACAAAAGGTCATCGCTAAAGAGGCTGGCTGTTCACAGAGCTCAGTGTCCAAGCACATTAATAGAGAGGCGAAGGGAAGGAAAAGATGTGGTCGAAAAAAGTGTACAAGCAAGAGAGATAACCGCACCCTGGAGAGGATTGTGAAACAAAACCCATTCAAAAATGTGGGGGAGATTCACAAAGAGTGGACTGCAGCTGGAGTGAGTGCTTCAAGAACCACCACACACAGACGTATGAAAGACATGGGTTTCTGCTGTCGCATTCCTTGTGTCAAGCCACTCTTGAACCACAGACAGCGTCAGAAGCGTCTTGCCTGGGCTAAAGAGAAACAGGACTGGACTGCTGGTGAGTGGTCCAAAGTCATGTTCTCTGATGAAAGTAAATTTTGCATTTCCTTTGGAAATCAAGGTCCCAGAGTCTGGAGGAAAAGAAGAGAGGCACTTCATCCACGTTGCTTGAAGTCCAGTGTAAAGTTTCCACAGTCAGTGATGGTTTGGGGGTGCCATGTCATCTGCTGGTGTTGGTCCATTGTGTTTTCTGAGGTCCAGGGTCAACGCAGCCACATACCAGGAAGTTTTAGAGCACTTCATGCTTCCTGCAGCTGACCAACTTTTTGGAGATGCAGATTTCATTTTCCAACAGGACTTGGCACCTGCACACAGTGCCAAAGCTACCAGTACCTGGTTGAAGGACCATGGTATCCCTGTTCTTAATTGGCCAGAGAACTCTCCTGACCTTAACCCCATAGAAAATCTATGGGGTATTGTGAAGAAGAAGATGCAATACACCAGACCCAACAATTCAGCAGAGCTAAAAGCCACTATTAGAGCAACCTGGGCTATCATAACACCTGAGCAGTGCCACAGACTGATCGACTCCATGCCACGCCGCATTGCTGCAGTAATACAGGCCAAAGGAGGCCCAACTAAATACTGAGTGCTGTACATGCTCATACTTTTCATGTTCATACTTTTCAGTTGGCCAACATTTCTAAAAATCCTTTGTTTTTATTGGTCTTCAGTAATATTCTAATTTTCTGATATGATGAATTTGAGATTTTCATTTGTTGTCATTTGTAATCATCAAAATTAAACAAAATAAACATCTGAAATATATGAGTTTGTATGTAATGTATGAATATAATATACAAGTTTCACTTTTTAAATGGAATTACTGAAATCAATCTACTTTTTCATGATATTCTAATTTTATGACCAGCACCTGTAGTTCAGCACCTGAATTTGACTGAATGAGGTGATGAGGTGCAATCAGCCTCACACGACCACCTCCCGACCAGGAATCCTGAGGTCGGGAGAAAGTCAAACATGTTTGAAATTCAGTTGGCTGTCGTTAGGTATTCTTGAAGAAATTGCTCAGTGCGCTAACAAGGATTCTTCTTCTTCTTCCTCTCGGATGAAAACACAGAAGCCTGGCGAGTGAAATGGAGTTCTTTCTGTAAAATTGACATAGGTGTCAAGTAATGTAGTACAAATACTTTGTTACTGTACTTAAGTAAACTTTTAAGGTATCTATACTTGACTCCATTACTTATCTTTCCTTCTATTCTGACTTCTACTCATTACATTTTCACACAACTATCTGTGCTTTCTATTCCTTACATTTTCAAAACAAACGTTACTCGTTACTCTTGACTTTGGTTTTAAAATGTTTATAAATATTTATTTCCCGTCATGTGCTCCATCCAATGCAGATCATTGGCTCCACCCACATCTAGTGAAAACTAGTGTGATTGGATGAGTCATAGAACGCAAACACTCATTGGTTAACTAAAGGAAATCCTCCAAAGCAAGCAGGTGTTCTTCAAACTGCTAACGTGAATTGTCTATATCATGCTACAATGTAGGATTCAGAAAAATATGTTGAAATGTCTGAAAGGTCAGACACAGGCTAGAGCGTATCGGGCCTCATCCTTGGCCCTATCTCAAAGAATTTTTAGAAATAGTCGAAAAATTGAGCTTTCAGTTCATATAGTGGCATCTGGCTGTTTTTTTTAAAGGTTACTTTATACTTTTATACTTTAAGTAGTTTTTGGAGCACATACTTTTTCACTTTTACTTGAGTAAAGAGGTCAACTTGATACTTCAACTTTTACCAGAGTGTTTTTAAACTGCAGTATCTATACTTCTACTGAAGTAACAAATGTGTGAACTTTTGACACCACTGGGTATAGCGTAAGCTATGGATTTAGTGATATTACTCTTTTAATGAAGAAATAAAGACAAAAGAAAAATAGCAAATTCTCAACAATTCCCCGAGTTTTGAAAATCGAGCTTTTAATTCATATAGTGGCATCTGGCTGTTTTCTTTATAGTTTAAGTAGTTTTTGGAGCACATACTTTTTCACTTTTGGGCCTATCTAGATAATGTTGCTTACGGGCTTATTGTTGTGTCGTTACGCCGTAGCGTAACGACACAACAAGTGAGCTCTAGCTGTTACCAAACAATGATGGGCAAAAGGAGTGTGTGTACATAGGAAATATAAGAAATATTGGATTCCTTCATTGCCCTCTGGAATTGATCATATTTTCAAAATTCCCTTTTTATTTCCCGCCTATCATTTCTTTAAACACCAGTTTTATACATTTAATTTTAACAGAGTAACAAAGCTGAGGTTAAACCTTCAAATCGTGGAGTTCAAGCTTCTTTTTAACTCCAATCTCAGGTCATACCTCAGAAGTTCACTTATCAGATATATTTCCTGTTTAATGTCTAACATTCAGATATGCTGGTTCACAAATACCAAGTCAAAACCATTTAAACATAGACAGAAAACTCTTTGTTAGTATAGTTCCCTTTGGTTTTAAAACAGGATTGTATTAGTAAATCAAACCTTTGACTCAGGTTCTAACTGTTTAGAAAGATAAACTTTATTGTTTAAAATCTTTACGAAGGGGTCTAGTTTACAATGTTTAGAAAGAAATAAGCCTCCCACTCAGGCTTTAGTGTGATAAATTAATCCAGAGTGTCCCAGCCGCATGTTCACCACACAGGAATGTAATCCCTTCAGGGGTCAAAGATCAAATTAGCGTGTGGAGGAATACCAGTGTTCCATGTCATCCTGCGTTAAAACTCAATGTGTGCTGCTGTTTACCTCTCATTCCTTCATTAAAATCTTTTGGGTCTCTAAATATTTTTATAAGGACTTTACACCAGGACATTAAGAAAGTCATACAAATTGCTGCCCAGTTCAGACAACAGCTTTTGGGCCATTAATGCAGCTGTTATGATGGCGCTCAGTCATGGCAGATATGAGTATGGAAAGCCTGTATCAGGCCTACAGCTGGATCTCATTATTCAAGGAATGTGGGGCTTTTGTATGAAAACTCTGGCTGGCTTTCCCTAATCCTCTTTTCTCCCTCTCAGCTGAGCTCCTTCGGCAATGCAACAGTCCCTTTTCTGATGAGACGATGAGAATGCACACCCGTGGGGCCCCCACAGTCTTCTTCATAAGTCTGCTGTGGCCCCTACTTGCCCCGGTGCCGGCTGCCGAAGTGGACCCCACCGGGGGAATCCCCTTCATGGGAGGCAACTATGACGGTCATCCCATGCTGTACTTTGGCCGCGGGGACGTGGAGGAGCTACAGTACGCGGCGGCCGGGACTCATCGAGAGATGGCCAGGAGGATCCGGGAGGCCGGGGAGACGATGTTGGAGCACCCTGAGGAGTACCTGCCCCCCTGGAGCCCCGCTGAGTTCAGCGCCCGCTGGAACGAGATCTACGGAAACAATCTGGGGGTGCTGTCCATGTTCTGCCTGCTGTATCCGCACAGGGCCGGTGCCCTGGACCTGGCCAAGGACTACATGGAGAGGATGGCAGCTCAGCCTAGTTGGTAGATTTTCTGTTTTAATTCACTTGCCAAAATGTGTGAAGGTCTGGTCACTGTGAAAATATCCTGATTGTTGTTGCCATCAGTGTCGAACAGCGTCTATCTTGTCTCGGCCACCTCTGTGCCTCTTTGCCCATTGGTTCCATAACCACCAATAGCCCTCAGAGCGAAAATAGGTTGAAAAAACACTGTAAAGATAACATGATTTATATCCAAACGACTTTTAAGTTTGGTTAAAAAGTTAAAGGTGAAAGGCCGTTGAAAAGACGTTGGGTTTGCAACGTCTTTTCAACATCTATTATTGGACTAAAGTGGGACAAAATCAAACCGACCAAACAGCCCAATTTTCAACAACTATTTCTGGACTAAATCAAGTCTAAAAGGGAGCGACCAGACTTAAGGGCTAGTTCTACTCCGGCAGCAGTGTGCCGCAGTGAGCTTCTCACAGGTATGATGCAGATATTTTGCCCATTTTGAGGCGTGGTCTGTGCTATGTTATTCCACAACGCAAGAGGGACATAAGGATTTTGCGTTATTACATCATGTTCTACCCACCCATATGAGTTTGTGTCATTTGGAGCCGTTCTGAAGATATTCCGTTAGGTTATATCCAGGTAACGTCTTCCTATGAGCAATCGAGTTGAAGGCTAAAACTGAACTGTTCATAATTTATTCTTTATGGTACGCCAGCATTCATAACATGTAGGCGAATCACTGTCCCCCCGACGGTGTTGGAGCCTCTCAGCACGACAGTTTTAAGCCCTTTCTGCCTCATTTAGAATGTTTTTCTCTAGTTGGAACATGTGGAAAGGCAAACTTGTCCAAACTGTCTTTCGGTTCATGACTGTCGATCTGCTATCACATGAAATACGGCTCCCTATGTGTCTCTGCAGCAGGAGTCTAGGGATAGGGTGCTGGTTATTGGGAACCGGTTAGTGTTCGGTACAATGTTTAGGTTTAGGTGTTTTAGAGATCGGCCTGTTTTTCAGTGTAGTCCTGTTTCTCTGACTGTGACTGGCTGGATGTGCTCTCTTCATCCTCTGATATGGGAGTTGACTCGGAGCTCGTCTGCCTGGCTGTGTGTTTCCTGGACGGGGCCGCCTTTTACAGCTGCTTTTTGTATCTCTGCTTCTGTCTCCTTGAACCCCAGTCGGCCTCAGCAGATGGCCGCTCACACTGAGCCTGGTTCTGCTGGAGGTTTCTTCCTGTTAAAAGGGAGTTTTTCCTCTCCACTGTCGCTACAAGCATGCTTAGTGTGAGGGATTGCTGAAGAGTCAATGAGTCAATGCAATCAGCTGGTTTTCCTTAGATAGAAAACTTTAATCTGACTGGAAGATCTGGTGAACTGTAAAGTGCCTTGAGATGACAGGTATTGTGAATTGGAGCTATAGAAATAAACTGAATTGAATGAAATTTAGCATTAAAGCATTTTAGGTTTGGAAAAGTACTGAGTGTTGAGATCTGAGAGAAACGTCTGCAACCAGAAACTTCTCCACAATTTAAAAAAATAACTTCTCTAGAGACGCCCCCATCAGGCCCACCTCCAGAGGGTTCTCATCTGTGATTGTGGGCAGAGCTCTAGTAAAACTAGACTTTTTAGACAGATAAAGCTGTGGTTCAGGAAATATGTTGAGCAGCTGTTTTCTGAACATCCCCTCCCCCAACCCCCAAAGGGAGAGGAAACGACATTTTCAGATGTGAACTGAATAGTTAGGACTGAGTCTCGGGGTCCAGGTGACCTTTGGGGGACTGACTCCAGACGCTCTGGTTCATTTTTATAGCCTAAGCAGTCATTTCACAGATCAGTTCTTACGTGGCCAAAACACAGGCACATGCCAGCTTGATTAACACGTTTATGGAAGCCATCAAAGCTTGGTCTTTTAACGGCTTTTAGTGATGGTTTGGTTTACTTTTAGCGAGGCTGATTGCATTGTGATGAATGTGTTGGTAGGGATAAACATTGGGGGTGGAGTCAGAAATTTTACAGTCAGAGTGATTGAATAAACTGGGCTGAACGTGTCACTGGAATAGAATAAGCTATGGATTTAGTGATATTACTCAACATTTTTATCTTTTAATAAAGAAATAAAGACAAAAGAAAAACAGCAAATTCGACATCATTCGACACCTTGCTGAAAAAAAGGTATATCATTCAAACTGAAGCTGTGAAAAGCAATTGGTGTATGTGAGAGACTCCTACATTTTTATGCTTGGTGCTAAAAGACAACTCTTTGAATCTTTGGATCAAATATATTTGATCCAACGTTTTTGAATTTGTATGAAACACCAACTTTTAATTTCAGAATATTTAGAGAATATTAAAAGGAGCTGGTATTTCAAATTGGCCTCAGATTTTTTACAAAATCATTGCTTGAAAAAAAAATTGCACCAGCAAATGCAAATTTAGTTGGGAAAGGATAAAGGTTTGCTTTGCTACAGTAGTGTCCATTAAAAATGGTCCTTCCCAGTCAAATGCCAGCCGAATGGAAGATCACTTTCCTGCAACTCCCAGCAAAATCCCCTCCATGAACCCAACATATTTTATTACCCTGACTCCACCCTTTCTCTGAATTACAGGGTCTGACCAGGAGATGATGCTTCTCTTTAGATCTTAATGTCCACAAATCATGACAGAAAGAATATTTTAGTACAAACATTAATGTTTAAAAAGGATTTTTAGGGGACCAGCCATGGAAAGTGGGGACATTTTGAATGGCTACTACTGTAGCTGGAGTGAAGGAAAGTGTCCCAGAAGCAAAGTGGACGCCCCATTCCTAACGTTTTTCTTTACGCCCTCAGTTTACAGACAGAGTGTGTAATCAGAAGGTTGTGATGTAACACTAACTGCTGTATTACCTGAACGACTGGCTGGCAGACATGTCTAAGCATGGTTTACTGTTTATACTGTTGGTTAGAAAACAAGGTGTTGGATGGATGTTGAACCACATCTAGAAAACCGACTGCAGACAAAGTGGAATGGGTTGGGTTAAGTGTGTCACAATGTCCTCCTGAAATCCTTCTTCAAAGACAGCAGCTCTGAGGATTGGCTTTATAAGATGATCCAGGGCTGACATTGACATGAAATATACCGTCAGGGTTTTTATGATCTCGCCTTGTATGCTGAGAACTCATTAAATTAGATCAAATCTAAGCTTGTGGAAAATAAGCACTTTTTGAGGGACGCCAAGTCCTGTCACATTTCTACAATAAGTGTGCTGCTTCTAATTTAGCCCTGTGTTTTTTATAGTGTGTGTGTGTGTGGGCAGGGGTGGATTTAGGCAGTTTGCGGCCCTAGGCAATGACAGGCAGGGGGCCCTCCGAATGGAGAAGACAACACATAAAACAGACCCATTCTACAGATATAGAAATGTTAATAGAATAAACATCCATTATCTCTTCTAGGTTTTGTCCCTCTCTTCTTGTCCCTTTTCTTGTTTTCCTCTCTATGTTTTGTACTTCAAAGTCTCCAGTAGCAGAAAAAAGTCGCTAGATTTGGCGCTAGGTGCTTTTTAGAAATCAAAGTTCTAGAGGGTCTGAAAAGTCACTAAATATAGCGACTAAAGCACTAAGTTGGCATCACTGTTCTTTGCATGGTTTGTTTTCAAATGGTTTGCTGCTGTCTGTTTGGACCTTTCTGAACACGTGCAGCAAATGGACTGATCCAATATGGTGGACACTGAAGGGGGGGGGCTGAGACACACTTAATATTATCAGCGTTCTGATGGCATTTTAGTAAAAGGATTTTTATCAAAAACGCAATTAATGTGCACAAATAAGGAATAGTTGTATTAACCATACTTGTTAACTAGGGGTGTGCAAAATAATCGCCATGATGATGCATCGTGATTCTAATTTTCGTGATCTACTGCATCGATTCTTGACACCAAGTATCGATTATTAATTTAAAAAATGAATAAATAAAATTGCATGAATGGTTGGCGAACATCAGCCAAAAACAAGTGTAATACAACTTCCAGTCCAGTAGATGTCGCTGCAAATGTGTTGACGCACGCTGCCTTGTGTCACAAGCATTTCCGGCCTCGGGATACTGCGCCGTGTCTTACAAAAACAAAACATGGAGGAGAAAATATTACAATGCATCGCAATAATTCAAGTATCGCGATGCATCGTGATAGAATCGCATCGTGGCCTGTGAATCGTGATTCGAATCGAATCGTGACTTCTTTGGCAATACCCACCCCTATTGTTAACAGAGTTTTATGAGGCCCCCAGGAACTTGGGGCCCTATGGAACTACCTAGTATTCCCTGATGGTAAATCCCCCCCTGTGTGTTGGCGTGCTCCGATTGTTGCATCAGAGATTTTAGATTTTATATAAGCCCTTCATTTTATCTGATAAAGGACGTTCTAAGCTTTAGAAGTGATTCAGCTTTTGCTAATATTAAAAATAACAGAAATATTATATGGTGCTATTTCAAGCATTGAGCATGCTGACCTGAGTGAATCTTGCGTAGTGTCAGTAAAGTCTAGCATGAGTTCTCACTAGCTCATGTTAACATAGCAGCCGGTTACACCCAAAGTTGGAAAGCCTTCAATTAGGCTTTAGTGCAGATTTTTTAGTCAAATGTCAGTGGAAACAGCACTTCTAATTACATATACCTCCTTATGTACACATACAGGCAGGAGTAGGGATGTCCCGATCTGATATTAATATCAGATATCAGCAAAAAAAAAAAAAATCAGAATATCGGATGTTATCAGCCGGCATCTAAAATCCTCAATATTTTAATGCTAATAGAAACAATCTGCTCATTGGTTTAATTTACATGGGTCAGTTGTTTTCATACATTTTGTTTTAGGCTTTAGTTCCCTGTTTTGGTAATATTACTTGATCAAGTCTTTTCTAGCATTCTACAGTATAAAATATATATCGTATCGGGTCAACACCGGCATCCCCTGTAGCAGTTGAGTTGATCCCCTCCTCCTGTCATCGCAACCCCAACCCCTGTACAGGAGAGTGGAGGACCTCACCTGTTCAGCCAG